ATAGAAATTTCTTTATGAAAAAACTTTAAAATGTTTTACAGTGCAGTACAGCTACTGGTTTTACTGTACTGCAACCCCAAAGTATTTGCCAACAACCCCCTCCAATCTCTCATTGATTACACTGTCAAACTCTCGCATTGTTCAAAGGGTCCAACTTGATAATTACATGCMAATACTCACTCTTTGGTGCTTGAAGAATGATCTCAGGGAATGGCAACCTAGACCCATGTGTGCAAAGATCTGGAACACTTTTGAAGCTGAACCCCCAGCAAAGAGTATAGCCATAGACAAAAGAAGATTTCCTGCAGGTCCTCTTTGGCCAGATGTAAATAACATTGAGGGCTGACTGTGCCAGGTAAACTCTTTCTTAGGACATTTTGGWTTCCTACATGTGGTAGAAATCACTACTTCTGTTCCATTTTGGTTAGCCTCCACCATGGGACCATCAGCTTTACAAGAATGGCAGAAGCTGAACAGAAGTAGAAGTTGTGACAGGAAGACARTGTRCTTTGGCTCTGTCCGTAMGTTTTTCCCATGCATACTCAATCTGAAAGCAAAGGTAAATGGGAATATTATTAATATACAGAAGGATATCAATATCAAACAGTTGCAAAGACAACAATCAATACTTTTCAGATTTATCAGCTATTTCTTCTTCTGTTAATGGTTCTTCTTCGGATTCTGTTTCCGTCATATAAGAGTTATCATCATCATCGTCGTCACTTGGACAAGGAAACTCATCTTCCATATTATCTTCTTCACTGCAACAATCATCCCAGTCACTTTTCTCTGTTTTCACAGTTCCATACTGATCATCTTGATCTGTGAGGTCTTTGCTTTTCTTGAGGGCTGTGATTTCAGCTTCTAACTGTAATACTAAGGCAGATGGAAATGATCAGTGAATATTAGTGATGAAAATTCTACACATTGAAATATGATTTATAATAAAATGTAGGTATCTCCAATCAAACACAAAAAATGGCTTATGAAAAATCAAGATAATTAATTTGTAAACTGATGCAGTATATAGTATCGATACAAACATTTTTATTATTTCATTCTATATATGTTACATGAAAAGTAAAACATAAGCTTACTTCTCTGATTTGCACATTCTAGTTGCTCCTCCTTTTCAWCAACTTGATTCTTCTTTATTCGCMACCTCTKCCTCCAGCATGTTTTTTCCTTTTTCAGTCTTGAGCAGGACTTACATGACGTTTTGGTTTTCTAATAAGGTAAAAGAAAAGACTCAGTACACGTAAAATAAACTTACTCTGTTTGCAGTTATTAGAGAACACCTACTGTACAGTAGCCTACAGCTTCCCCCCATACCATAACTAACAATAATTCTTACCTCTGGTAAACTTAGCTTTACAGGCATCGGATYGGTACTAACATCCAGGTTATCTTCCTGTTCTGACAACGCGGGCGAAGAGGCAGTTGTGTCGTTGTTTACCGGTACCGTCGGAGGTACCGCAAGTGTGTCTTCTCGTTGTTCTAGGTGGACAGAGGCAGCTTCATTGCTGGTGTTGGTTCTATCCTTACTCGTAGATGGAGCTTGCACCTCTAGTTCTTTTTGTTGGTCATACTCATCTAATGCAGTCTTTATTGTCTACAAATTAATAATAATTTCTGAGTTTTGCAATCAAAAGCAAGAAGCTTTGAAGTATTAGCTTATATCTCACCTTGCGTCTTTTTCGTTGGCTGATTCCTTCGCTCTCGAATGAAGCACCAGCTTGTAGTGTAGGATACACACAGACACCAAATTCATCCCTTTTCAGACGAGGAATTTGTGGCTTTTCATGCCCAGGCAATAGTGCATATCTTATGGATAAATCCTCTGGTCGAAAGTGCTTTGAGCAGATGGAAGAACCCTTCGATTCAAAGAAATTTTTCCGCTTCTGGTTGACAAACTTCACCCAGGTTCTCCGCCGCCTCTTTGCTTCTGGCCGATTATCGTTAAAAAAGGGGATCGCAAATAAAAATATTCCTTCTTTGGGGTTTGGGGTACTACTACAACCCCAAACGACACACCGATTCGGCATATTTCGCTTAAATTTTGCTATACATACTCTTCAAAAAACTCTCTTTTCACATTATTTGGCTTGTGTTCTTCACATCGGCATCGCTATCCTACCTTTGTATACGTCACAATAGTCTCGATCCAGGCCCTTGACTAGAACCGYGGTTTTCGGATGTCAACGCAAATTTCGTAAAAATTTAATACTTTCAAAAATTCACCATAAATCGAGCTTTTACCCAATTTGAAAAAAAATAACACTATGTTTATTATAAATTCAATATCTTTTGATAACCAATGCGAATATTTTGGGTTCAGTTGCACTTTAAAGAACTATGCATCTGATCAATGGCTTCAACTTTTATTTACCCGTGGTAAACCAGTTATAAAATACCTTTGTTTTTTCCCTGTCCTGATTCCTCCCCTACAAAATAGACAAGTTACGCACTAGTACCCAGGGGTCTTCAGGACATTACCCAAGTAACCTTCGCGGGCTTCTGCTATAGAGTTCTGGTCTACAGTTTAATCAATTGGCATGTACGAGCTGTCAATAAATAACACCATGTTGCCAAATGATTAAAAGAGGGCAGAACCAGCCAATCATGTGACGTCAATTGATGTTTTCTCGCATGTGGTTTTTCGTAGACAGCCTAACTAGAAATATCAATACTGTACTTGTAAAAAAGGATTCGAGTCAATTTCTAAGCGATTACTTCAAAGCTAATATTTCTAATAATTTTCTATGAACTTCATGGACAATAGTACCCAGAGGTCTTCAGGGCCTTACCCAAGAGACCTTTAGTCTACAGTCTGATCAATTACCTTGTACCAGGTGTCAATCAATGTCATTGTCGCAATGATTATGAAAAGGCAGAAATATAAGATCATGTTACAGAAATTTATAACTACACATGCTCTATTTCGTTGACTGGTGTAATTAAAGACAGCAGAACTAGGAATATTTATTAACCATCTTAATCATAAACAAAATTTTTTAAGCAAGGTGTTAATGACTTCTAAGCAATTCATGGGCAATAGATTATTTTGGTTAACTATTCATGATTTGATTCAGCTATTTAAAAGGATAATCTAGTCGTGTTAAATAACTACGCGCCTGATCAATGGCTTTGACTTTTAGATTTTTTTGCAAGCTGAAATGATTCTGATTACTTGATGCTATATTTTAAAGGTTATTTGGCTCTGAATATTTTGAAGCATTGTAAACTGATTTAGATTTTGAGATGGCAATATGACAAAATTTTGATGACTGGTGGGAGAAAATGTATATTGCATATTATGTAGTTCCAGAAATTATCCAT